CACACAAACACACGTCTAGGCAGCCATAAAGCTGCATGCCAAGTTTGGTTGAGATCGGCGTGAAAAATTGATACAAAGAAACAGAAAACGTTTTCACTTTATACATATAGCTAAGATAAGGTATCTTTGAGAAACTTCATACATAAATTGTCTGTCTGTTAAGAAGCTCAGCTGTAATAATTATAATCAAATGTAATATGTTCGGTACAAACTTTTTTAAAGTAATTTGTCTTATATTTCATTTCTTTATACTCACACGGGCTCGGCATGGTTAGTTGGTTAGGGCGCTCGACTCGCAATCTGAGGGTCGCGGCTTCGAATCCCAGTCCCACCAAACATGCTCGCCCTTTCGCCCGTGGGGGTGTTATAATGTGACGGTCAATCCCACTATTCGTTTGTAAAAGAATAGCCCAAGAATTGGCGGTGGGTGGTGATGATTAGCTGCCTTCCCTCTAGTTTTACACTGCTCAATTAGGGACGGCTAGCGCAGATAGCCGTCGTGTAGCTTTGCGCGAAATTCAAAACAAACAAACAGTCCCACGATTCAATTGAACATCATGGAAAGAAGTTCTATAGGGGAGGACGGGGGAATGATAAATATATTTTACGATGTAACTAGAAAAATTATCAAAAACATTCCCTTGGATTTCCCATGTCTGAATGAATAAAAACTAAAAGCCAGAAGTCTTATCATTAATTTATTAAGTAAAGTAACTTAATATTAAAAAAAAAATGACTGCATGATATACGCAGATATTTTTACATTAAGTTTGAATAACAGCCATTGTTTCGTAAGCTAAAACCTATGGTCGCAAGTATGGAGTAGTTTCATTAAATGTTCGTTTTCTTAGCTTGGAACATGAAACCTCAAAGTATGTTATCAAACACATCAATTAAACTATTTTTCAGAAAACAGTAATTGTATTTTTGTGTTCACTGCAATACAGATCACTTACGAGCTGCGTGGTTTTCAGTAAAACTATGTGATATTTTTACAGATCTGACGCACCCGAGGGATGCCGTTAGCTCCACTCGAGACATAAGTTTCCCATGTCTACATTCTACACTATCAACATGCTTGAAAGCATTAATTAAGGAACAAGTGTATAGACTGCCACGCTGTGAAAAGGAAAGGAATTTCCCTGATTTAACACCTGATTTATGGTGAAGTTTAGTGTGTAATGAATTCAGCTTTACCAAGTAAATCGAGAAGAAATAGAATTAGAAGTTTCAGTAATAAGGAACGAAAAGTCAATATAGTTATGCGTAAAAAGTTTGTTTGTTTCAAAGTTCCTATACGAAGCTAAACAAAGGGCTTTCTGCCTATAGTCGTCTCTAATTTTGAGCTGATAGACTGGAGGGAAGCAATCTGGTCAGCAGCAGCCTCCTCCAACCTTAGGGCAGTTCTCGTCTGATCAAATAGTGGGATTTGGCTGTCACTCACATAACGCACCCATGACCCCAAAGTGCAGAGCGAGTATTTGAAGTAAGGGGTCGCACGGCAAGAGATGTTTGTAGGTTTAAAAATATACATGTACATAGATATATACATACATATACATAGATATATAGATACATATACATAGATATGTACATACATATACATAGATATATAGATACATATAGATACATATACATAGATATATAGATACATATACATAGATATATACATACATAGATATATAGATACATATACATAGATATATACATACATAGATATATAGATACATATAGATACATATACATAGATATATAGATACATATACATAGATATATACATACATATACATAGATATATACATACATATACATAGATATATACATACATATA